CACATGGTCCGCGATGACCCTATACGCCGTGTCCACCCCATCTACATCCTCCCCGCCAAACTTCCCCGCATACGGCCTCTTTCCCGTGAGCTCCTCAATCCGCTTGAATATGGGCGAGAAGACGTCCGTGTCGTAGTTCGAGCGCACGTCCTGGATGACCGAGACGAGGCGCTCGAAGCCCATGCCCGTGTCGACGTGCTTGGCCGGGAGCGGCTTAAGCGCGCCGGACTCCTCGCGGTTGAACTGGATGAAGACGTTGTTCCAGATCTCGAGGACGTCCGGGTCGTCTTGGTTCACGAGGTGCGCGGCGTTGCGGCCGCCGATGCGGTCGTAGTGGATCTCGGAGCAGGGGCCGCAGGGGCCTGTTGCGCCCATTTCTAAACAAACATAGCGTCAGATTCGATTCCGAAGTATATACAGGCGGATTGTCGGGGCGAGGGCAGAGGGCACGCGAGCGGTTGAGACGACGTACCCCAGAAGTTATCCTTCGCGTTTCCGGGCAGGATGTGGTCCTCCGCGACGCCGACGTCGAGCCAGAACTGTTTTGCCTCGAGATCGGGCTCCAGGCCCGCGGACGAGTCGCCCTCGAAGTAGGTGACGTAGAGCCTGTCCTTGGGCAGCTTGAGGACGTCGGTGAGGAGCTCCCACGACCATTCGATGGCCTCTTTCTGTATAGATCACGTGTGTGAGAGGAGGGAGGGAAGAGGGAGGGAGGAGGGAAGGTACCTTGAAGTAGTCGCCGAAGGACCAGTTGCCGAGCATCTCGAAGAACGTGTGGTGATACGAGTCTTTGCCTACGTCCTCCAGATCTACCAGCGCATAAATTATCCGAGTATTCTGATACGTAGATAGAGTACACACCATTGTGCTTCCCTCCAGCACGAATACACTTTTGGCTGTTAAACGCGCGCTTGAGCTTGGCCAGCTCACTGTGCGGCTCGACGGTGCCGAGGAAGATCGACTTGTACTACACCCCCTCTCAGTACATCGCCTTTCAATAGAGTATAGATAAGACGCACCTGGTTCATACCGGCATTGGTGAACAAGAGCGTCGGGTCCTCGTACGGGATCGTGCTCGAGCTCGGTACGAACGTATGCTCCTTCGACTTGAAAAAGTCAAAGAACGCCTGGCGAACCTGCGGCGCTGTGAGCTTCGGCGGCGCCATCCTCGTCGTCGTACTATAATACAATCTGGAGTAGGATCTGGGGAGGATCGACGCGGGAGACAAGAATCGGCGGAAGAGCATCCAAATCCAAATCTAATCGCCAGCGGCTCCCCGAGTCAGCCAGCGCAGGAATTCGAAGGAAAGGGAGGAAGGATCCGGGCCGAACGAGCCGGAGGTTGTGGTTTCGCGGTAACGTGCGCGTCACGCCCATGTTCGGTTTTAACACGCGTTTCCGGCGCGCGGACGCTGCTCAGCTCTGCCGACCATGGCACCGAAAGTACCCACCATGATTCCCGTGCGTACCACCCCTCACCCCCTCTCACTTAATACTGTGCTGATATATCGTGCAGGTGCACAGCGCGGAAGATGTCACACGACACCTCACCGACCTCGTCCCAGGTTTGACCATAACCGAGACAGAAGACAGCTGGGAGAAGATCTCCGTCGCGCTGCAGCACCTCACAGCGCTAAGCGCCGGTGGCGCCTGCGACTACCCCACCGCAGTCATACCCTTCCTCAAAACGCACTCCCGGCCCTTCACATCGGCGCTCTCCTCCGAGCGCTCGCGCCTCTCCGCCGCCGCCTCCGAAGCGCTCTCCGCCCTCGCGTCGGGCCTCGGCCCCGACTTCGAGCCGCTCGTGCAGCTCTACTTCCCGCCGCTCATACAGCTCACCGCGCGCCCGAATAAAGTGTTCGTCAGCAGGGCGAAGGCGGCGATACATGTTTTGATCGAGCAGACGCAGCTGCCGGCGCTGTTGAGGCCGCTGTGTGAGGTGCTGAGGGATAAGAGCGTGACGATGCGGTTGATCGCGCTCGAGGGGGTGCTGGCGTGCGTTAATAGCTTGAATCCGCCCGAGCTGGAGAAGGATGTGAGGGCGGGGCTCATTGAGGGCGCGATCAAGGCTACCGCTACGGATGCGGCCGCGGATGTGAGGAAGGTGGCCAGGAGCGTCTTTGAGGCGTACAGCGTGCTGCTGCCTGCACGTGTGCCAGCGTATGTATTTTTCATACTTTTCTTTGAATTTGTACTGACGTGTGGTTGGCAGGTTTACGTCCGGACTGGACCCAACCACGCGCAAATACCTCAACGTCACATCCTCCGCCGCGCCCTCCCGCCCAGCCTCGCAAGCATCCATCCGCTCCCGCCCCGCATCGTCGCTCGCGCACCACGCACCACCGCGCCCCGCGACATCAATGTCCACGCGCTCTCTCACAGCCTCCGGCTCGTCCGCGTCCATCCCGTCAAAGAAGGACAAGGACGTAAAGGAGAAGGCTGTCCCGCTCGCGAGGAGCATGACCGATGTGACGCTGAGCGCCAAGGAGAAGGAGAAGGAGAAGACGCAGGTGAAGGAGAAGGTCGTGGAGAAAGTGAGGGATAAGGCGGCTGTGCCGCCGCGTCGGGCGCTGGCGAACGATATGCCGCCGCCACAGACTATCCCGGCTCGTCGGCCTGCACCACAGGCTTCTTCTTCGTCGACTTCGATGGCGCACAGGAGAGAGCCTGATCGTCCACACGCTGCCGCGCCTCCGCTCTCGCGCTCTGGCTCAGCGCCTGTTCGGCCTGACGCCCACGTCCGGCCTGAGCCAACTGCGCTCGTAAGGCCTGAGATGTCCAGCGGTCCGCGGTCTGCGACTGCTACATCTACAACATCTATGCCGACTACGGCAACGGGGCAGAGCACGCGGGAGAAGCTCATGGGTAGTGCAGGTGCGCGGAGAGCCGTGGCCCAGATCGGTGTGGACGAGAAGAAGAGTGCTGCCGATGAGAAGGAGAGAAAGATTGCAACGCAGGCTGTTGCTGGACCTTCTACGAATGCGACTACGCGGTACGTTTCACTACTCATAACGACTGGTCACAGTACACTGACGATATGACCGGCCCATTACAGGCAACGCACGAAGTCCCGTCCGCCACCGTTCAAACCTTCAACGACGACCACCGCTTCTACGGGTGCCACCAGCAAAGCGCCGCCTTCCACCGCTCCGGCAACGAAGTCCACCTTCGCCGCACCAACAGCCTCGAGCGCACGCGCAGGGCCCGCCACCACTAAACCTGGCCCACCGAACCCTCCACCAGCGACCCTCAAACCTCTCCCCGCATCATCCAAAGCCGCTCATCCCGCACCGACCGCGCCGCGTTTTGGTCCCACTAAGACCGCGCCTCCGCTGAGCAAAGCAGCGTCAACCTCCTCGATCGCATCCAAGTCAGGCCTCGCGAAGCCTGTATCGTCGAGCAGAATACCGCCCGCCGTCAAGCCACCCGGATACGCCCCTGCGCCCTCTGAGCCGAAGAAGCGCGCGGACCCGACGCAGCCGACGTTATCGCAGTTGGCAAGGATGAATGCGAACGCCGCGTCTAAGAGCTCTGCGTCGACGAAGGCCTCAGCTGCGACGAAGGCGGGAAACACGCGGCCGCTTGCGCTTAGGAATAAGGCCAAGGCTGCGTTCGTGCCTACTAAGAGGGGCGCGGTGAAGGAAGACGTTAAGGATGCAAAGAAGGACGTTGGCACGAAGAAGGAGAAGAAAGAGATGAAGGAGGTGAAGGTCGAAGAGGCGGCTGAGGTGCCGCTGCCAAAGACACCGGACGCGGTGGACGTGCCGTTGCCGAAGACGCCAGAGGCCGTTGATGTGCCGCTGCCTGAGGCCGAGGAGGAGGATGACGTGAAGGAGGAGGACGTTGAGGTTGAAGAACTCGAGGAAGAGGTCGAAGTGCCCGAAGTTGAGATCGAGCACGCAGACGAGGAAAGCGATACCGCCGCCACCGAGGCCATCGTCGAATCTACGCCATCCAGCCCGCACGACACTCAACCGAACTCCCCCTCCACCGCTGGACCCGCCCTTCCCGCTGCCTCAGACGCAGCAACGCCCCTCCGCACACACTCCTTCCCCGCCCCCGACCCCTCCACCGGCAAAACGCCCATCTCCTCCCTCGTAGCCGCGATCCAAGCCGGCTTCCTCCCCACGCCCGGCGGGCCGCACGTTCTCTCGCCTCCAGCGAACTACGCCGCGCCCGGCGAAACGTGGAACGGGTGGCCCGCCGGTATGGGCGCTTTTGCGCAGGATCTGACGCCGCGCGGGAACAGGGTGAATGCAGAGGAAGGGGTGGGCGAGGGGATGGGCGACGAGACGATGGATATGAGTTTGTGTGGGGAGGGGTGGAAAGTGGGCATTGTGGGTATGCCGGGGTACGAGGGGTATGAGGAGGAGGGGAGCCGGGTCGTGTTGGGCGAGATGGGGATTAATTGAGTTGGGTGTTGCGATGGTAGCTACGTAGGAGGATGTTTTGTTGTCGTCGTTACGCTTTCGTTGCTTGTTATCGATGAAGATGTTATTCGAGCGTTTGAGGGTCCATCGGGCGCGCGTCATAAGGACTGAAAGTGCAAGAACAAGACCTACCTACTATCGTCTGTCAGCACACACTATGGGCGGAGTCTTTGGCCCGAGCAGGCCAGAGCTCAAATCCCACGTGATCGCGTTCACAACGTGTATTGGCGAACGAAACGCGAGGCTCGAACGTTGAATACGGTGTTCCTTCCGACCACCATCATGTCGCAAGATACTTCAAGGTACGATTTACTCTATGCGATACCTCCTTTGCGTCATGTACTCATCCTCCCTGAATAGTTCCCTGTTCTCTGTGATCACTTCGCATTTCTCTGATAGTGCCCTCTCTGGTGTTCCGCGCGAAATTCAACTTGGGACTTTGGACTCTGAGTTGGAAACTATTGAAAAGGCTCTATATCGCGCGCGTCGGATGCGCAATGAGAAAGTAGGAGCTTGTATGCTGCCGCGCGAGGTCATCGTGCGCATTATTGAGGACCTTCAATCCATCTGGCGTCCGCGGCGGGTTTACATCGATGGAAACCAAACGGACACCTTCAAAGCTGGTTGGATGTCTGTCAGCCACGTTTGCACTTTATGGAGGGAGGTACGCCGCTCTACTACGGACCTCAACCCGTGAATTTGATGCTAACTTCCTATCTAGATCGTGCTCAGCGAGCCCCTGCTATGGTCCAAACCAACGATCGATGTTCTTGATTTCCCCTATCGATACATTCCGGACATCCTCATTCGATCTCACTCTGCTCCGCTTGATCTCAATATCGAGTACGCAGACGATGATCCTCGAACGCATTCTATCTTGAGTGTTTGGCTTTTGCCTGCAATGCTCCGGCGTGCGAGGCGTTTAAGGATCGACTGTGAGGCCTCGGAGCTGATCGAGCGCATATCGACGCATATGTCCCGGAGCTCGGACTTCATATACTTGAAGGAGCTGCACGTGGCATCGGACTATCTTGACGAACCCATCCCTTTGCCTGCGCCGTTCTGGAGCCTTCCGCACGTGACAAGCCTGAGCTTGCACAACTTTCAAGTACCATGGACGTCCCCGATCATGTCCTCCAGATTGACCAAATTACATTTGTCCCGCGATTTCGTTGGGGATCGTCTCTCATACGACGAGTTCAGAATTGTTTTGAGCTCCTTACGATTCCTGGAGGATCTCCATCTGGCAGATGTCATGCCTCACCTCGGTCCTATTGGCGCCTGGCACCCTACGAAAATCCTGTTACCGAATCTACGACAGCTATCTACCATATTCACAGATCATGCGGAAGGATCAAGACTTATCTTGCTGCTTGACCTCCCTTCTCGATGTGTTCGCGAGCATATGTTCCGTTTCTGGTCTGAAGTTGAAGACATATCGAGCAAGACCGATGCGCTGGGACGTCTACTACCCGCCATGGCACTCGCTGGCCATGATGATATTGAACTACGACATCTTCACGTCGACTATTATAGGATGCTGTTGCTTACAACCGTGATCTCTTCTCACTATATGTCATCATCCAGCCAACCTTCCTCTCTTAGCAAGGACATCACCAATACCCTGCACCTGGGATCTCTTCTGTTGCATGACAAAGAGAAGCCGGGCAATCATGCCTCCAGCTATATTCCATACGTCCCCCTCAAACACCTCGAGACCATCTCGCTTGACGTATCCTCAGTTCGTCACATAAACGAAGAGAACCTATGGCCACACCTGCTGCACGCGAACAGTGTTCGCCGTCTTGCGCTATCGGAGACGGGGACCAAGTCTATCGACCGCTACTCACCCCTAATATTGGATGTCCTCAGGGTGCCTCATGCCACCGGCACCGGAGGCGAAAGCCGCATGCTATTCCCCGCCCTGCAGGTCCTCGCATTCCCGTTGAGCCAGGATCTGGCTGTACACCGAGAGTTTGTCATTGGTTTAATCGACCTCATACATGCTCGACAAGATCACGGAGTGCCATTACACGAGTTGAACGTGTCGAGGGAAGCCGGCCCTTGGGCCGTATGGGATAGTCTTCGGACGAAGCTGAAGGTTACGCTGATCGATTATCCCAAGATGGGATCTCCGTTGATGCCGGAAAGCAGTCGTGTATAGTACTTCGTATGCATACCCATCCATCGATAGATATGTACCTAGATCGATCGTATAGAGTCCTTGCATACACCCTGTCCAACTTCATCGAATTCAACGTCACTGCCCTCATCAACCAAAGGCATGCCGTCAACCGGCACTTCTGAGCGTATAGTCTTGTCAAAGCCGGTAGATCGACTATCCTGCGAGAGCTCATACGGAGCAGAGCCGTCGTTTGCGCGTTGATTGACGGATGCAGCGAGGGTGCTACCAGATTCATCGGTGGACTGCGGGTGCAAGTCCGGCGCGATGTATCGGATCTCGCTGATGGTGCCAGTAGCATGCGTACTCCTGTCAAGAATCGAGCGACGCGTTGCGACAAGCATGATGATGATAGCGGGGTACATAGCCTGCTCTTCGGTCGTCAGTTGTGGGGCGGAGAACGTAGCAATTCGCGCACAAAGAGCGGGACGGAGTAGAAGTCGAGCCGTGCTTGCATGCGCGTCAGTGAAGAGAAGTTGATACCGGTATACCAAGCCTGGGAATCGGAAGCCTCGTCAGTCACGCTCAAGATCCTTACTCGAATCAGCTCAACATACCCATAAGACAGTATATGCGACTCCCGACTCGACTACTACAGCTAGGACGACCAGAGTCTGCGATTTGTATTGGTGTGCGTATGCTCGGACGTCTTTCCGGTGGCGCCTACCTCAGGTCAGTGTGCGTCGATGACCGAGACAAGAAGAACAGCCAGAGCACTTACCAAAGTCTTGTACGCGAATCAACGCTGTTGAGGATGTGCATGTCCATCCGGTCACCGCGAGAGTCGCGGACGATATCGGTATCCACACTCGGCCATACGACTTCGCGAGGAGCAGCGCTCCGTAGTCCTGAAGTGATCCGGCATGTAACGGGACTTCAAGGCGGACATATGGAACTTGGGCCGTCTCGTACCTCTCCTAGCTGCCCAACTTTGCTCATGTTGAGTGCTCGCGTCAAGCCGCCCAGACATTCGAGCTACTCACAGGTAGAAGACTCTTCATCATATCCCCAGAGTCCCGCGACAAAACCGGCAAGCTGAGCGTGACGAAGAATCAATTCCAGTTCGTCGATATATACTCACATTGCCGGTTATCGTACGAGTCCGTAGAGACGTTCGACGAGTACTTCTCTCGAGATGACCCGCCGTAGGAGCCCTTCAACCCAGGTTCGCTCGCGCGTACCTGTACCGCTGAGCCATCGCTCACCGGTCGTTTCGCAGATGGGTCTTCACGCGTCGAAGTGTCGAACCAGATGTCGCTTGAGGATATCTTGGTACAGTATGGGCTTTCTACGCCCGCATTGCTCGAGTTTCTGAGGGAGATGTTGAAGAGTTTACCGAAGGATAGGCTTGGGGCGCGGGAGCTTCTTGAGATGGGGTGGTTGTATGTCGAAGACTCTGATACCGACGATGATGAAGATGAGGAGGAAGCTGTAGACCGTGGGGCGAGGAATGCTGATGTCAATGAGGAAGCGGAGTAGATTGAGGTCGTTGAAACGTAGGAGCAGTGGGTTGCAGTTTGAGGATGTACCACGCTGCTTATAGCATAACTCTGTGAGTTACTGCATCATGGCGAGCGGTCCGAGGAGAATGACCGACGGGATGACTCGCGGGAAGGATATAGACGAACGCATCATATTGAAAAGTAAGTATATTGTATGCTACTATGTAGACCGTCCGCCTGTATGCATCGATTGGAGGCCTTTCAATCAAGGGAAGCATACCTATGGAAGCACAATGCACCAAATACCTCCGCCACCTCGCCTGCCTCCACAGCAATATCTGCCACTCAACAAGCAACTCCTAGTGCGGAAGGAAGCCGTCCACGCGCCTTCAGAACTGATCTCGCTCCTTGCACTTCTGGTGGAAGTATGAGAGAGAACGCCCATGCCAATGGCGCTGCAGCGGCGATGGGGACTGCGCAGCGCGGGTGGTGGCGACGATTGAAGCGGCGAGCGCGCTAGTCGGGCGACGCGGTGCAAGTCCAAGAGGTTGAGAATGCGTGAGTTGTTCGGCGAGCGGACGTGGAAGGGATTTACGTGGTAGGACCGG